TCAGCGACTTATAATGGGATTGCGATAATGTTGCGGGCAATCCGACGCTGGGTTGGGAACTGACTGACACTGACCTCGCCAGTGAAAGCATAGTGACCAGTGCTAATACTTTACACCGGCTGGGAAGGGGTTAACATCGAGGGGCAAGCAAGGGGTGTGTGCCCAACGATGTGTAGCACATGCTGCTTTTACTAATATGTGGCTGTTTTTTCTCCCTGCTTTGCAGGATGAAGAAACAGCCACCTCGCTGCTCTGTGTACTGAGCCCTGTATTGTTTGTAAACACAGGGCTCTGTGCTGTGACTGGCACAGCCGATCAGCAGGTCCCGGCCAGGAACTGCTGCCAAACCTGTGGCGAAGTGAATCACAGATGGGGCGGGTGAGCGTCCTATTGCGCCCCATACCCCGGAGAGCTGGATCACATACATGTACCTCAGTAGTGATGGAACGGGGACTCATCCCTCTTCTTTCAGCATGTTCCACCTTTGGAATTCCCTGCTTTGCTATCTTGTTTCGTTATTTTCTACATTTTTCCCCTCCCCATAAAAGATATGGATACATAGAACCCCCCATCAGGAAGAATGGAAATGGTTCCTGATCCCGGGGATGCGGTGTTGGAGGATTAGCCATGGAAAAGGGGAAGGACCCCAGCATGACGGTACGGAGTAGCCTGTGTCAGGACAGGCCTTTGGAGATGCAACTTCAAGGTCCTGCTTGGAGCACCATTGTGGTGGCAGCATTTCTAGCTGTGGTCGTCTACATTGATCTGACATCTTTTACGGGGCGGGGAGATGTGTAGAAAATAACAAAACAACATAACCAGGCAGGGAATTTCAAAGGTGGAACATGCTGAAAGAAGAGGGATGAGTCCCCGTTCCATCTGTACTGAGGTATGAGGTCCCACCCTGATCTGCCTGGCTGCTCTGAAGCAGTAGAGGTGGACTTAGGATCATTACCTCACCCCTTTAAAACCCGAACACATATTAATGACACGGGTTCTGAGGTGAATTCAATGCAGAGAAGGCACTAAGTGAGTTTAATGACCACCGTAATCAGCCCCAGAACCTGTGTAACTAATGTGTTTGTTTCTAAAGGGATGAGGTGGTCACCCTAGTTCCATCTCAAGCACGTGGATACAAAAAACCCCAGCAGGATCATCACCCCTTTAAAACCCAAACACATATTAATGACACGGGTTCTGATTTATTGCAGAAAAGGCATTATGAGTTTAATGACCACCTTCATCATCCACGGAACCGTGTAGTCAATATGTGTTCGGGTGTAAAGGGGTGAGGTGACCACTCTAGGTGGACTGCTTGCTGCTGGGTACATCTGATGAGGGCAGTGAGGGGGTGACCCGTGTCATCCATCCCACCTCTGCCTGAGTCTTCTTCGGATGAATGGGGGCATCAATGGGCTCGAAAAACCACATAGGAAGGTTTTCATCAACGTAGACAGCAAACTTCTCCTAAGCTGTGCCACATATAAAACAAATCTATCGTTTCATCGCCACTAAATCCATCATCAGTTCTGCTGCAAAACCAAAGGTTCCAAAATCCCTCCATTCATTGGAAGTCATATATTTCTTGTTGGGAGTGGAGGTGACCCCTTTATGAGGACATACAGTCCATACACACCCAGCGCAAGGCCGGGGTCACACTACCAGACGGTTCTCGGGGCTGCAGTTCCTCTGAGCTCCACAAGGTGAGGATCTCACTTCTACCCAGACAGGAAGTCTCTATGGAAGACAGGAAGTGATGTCAGGTATAAATAGGACTTTCTTGCTAAAAGGTGAGGCGGAAGAAAGCCATTGCTGGAAGTGGCAGCAGAGAAGGTAATGAGATCTTATTTTATATTTACACCCAGTAACCCCCCCCCCGTCACGTCCGTCCTCTTCCTCCACCGTCGCGTCTGTCCTCTTCCCCCTTCGTCACGTCCGTCCTCTTCCTCCACCGTTGCGTCCGTCCTCTTCCCCCTTCGTCACGTCCGTCCTCTTCCTCCACCATCACGTCCGTCCTCTTCCTCCATAGTCACTGTGATGTCATTAGTCAGAAGTTATGACGCTTTGTTAGGTCAATGATGTCATAAACCTCTCCACCACTTTGAGGCCTATAGGCAGCAACAATCTCCTCCTCCCTTTCTCCCCTCCTCCTTCCTTCCTCCCTCCTCCTTCTTCCCTCCTCCTTTCTCCTCCCTCCTCCTCCCTCCTCCTTTCTCCTCCCTCATCCTCCTCCTTCCTCCCTGATTTTCCTTCTTCTTCCTCCTGGCCTCTTCATCCCTTTAAAACCGAACACGTCTGAACCACCCCCCCCCCTCCAGAGGATTCCCTCCCCCTTCTTGACCAGGCCATTTTTTTGCATTACGGCGCTGCTTTACTTTGACAATTGCGCGGTCGTGCCATGCCGCACCCAAATGACATATCCCCACGAATAGAGCTTTATTTCGGTGGTATTTGATCCCCTGCGCATTTTTATTTTTTGCGCTATGAAAAAAAAGATCGACAATTTTGAGGAAAAAAAACAATATTTTGGACTTTTTGCTATTGAACACGTCCAGTAAAAAAATTTTAAAAATCCAATTTCGTCATAACTTTCAGCCAAAATGTCTCCCGCTCCGTGTCTTCGCTGAAAAAACAATCCCAATACGTGGAAATTAATCAGTTTGTGTGAAAGTTATAGCATCTACAAATGGCAGTATAGATACAGGGATTTTTTTTTTCTACTAGTAATAGCGGTGATCAGCGACTTATAGCGGGACTGCGGCGGACATTCTGACACGGGGGGGGAGATTAGTGTCACTGACATCCCTAGTGACACAAATACAGTGATCAATGCTAATAAAAAGACACTGTACTAATGGCACTGGGCAAAAAAGGGGTTAAAATGAGTGGCGATCAAAGGGTTAACTGTGTGGGAGTGGTTTACTAGGGGGCGGGGTCTGTTACTAGGGGGTGGGGAGTCTGTTACTAGGGGCGGGGTCTGTGTCCCTCACTGTAATCACACTGCTCTAGATGGCTGTACTGTGCAGTGCACCCGAGCCAACGGAGGAAGATTGGAAACAAAACGTTCCTCCTCGCCGTCGGAGATGCTCAGTAATCACTGACCAGGACCCAATGATAGACATCCGTGGCTACAAATGGCGGCACAGGTATGGCCCACACACCTACCCCTACCTAGAAATTCAAAATCACGTCTATACCCCTTATACACCCTTCCCCCTCAGGCCAATTTTCAGCTTTCAGCGCTGTCACACTTTGACAATTGCGCAGTCATGCGACACTGCACCCATATGACATTTGTATCATTTTTTTTTCCCACACACAGAGCTTTCTTTTGATTGTATGCACTCCCTGCTGGGGGTTTTATTTTTTGCGCTATAAACAAAAAACGCAAAAAATTTAAAAAACAAAGTTTTTCTTTGTTTTTATTATAAAATCTTGCAAACGGGTAATTTTTCTCCTTCACTGATGTGCGTTGATGAGGCTGCACTGATGGGCAGCACTGATGGGTGGCATTGATGGGCACTGATGATGCTGCACAGGTGGGCGGCACTGCTGTGCCCTGATGATTGGTGCCGATCCATCCTCTTGACAATTGCCGGTTCTCAGCAGTTCTCTCCTCACGCTGTGACAGTGCAGCTGATAACCGGCAACTGTATGTACCCGGAGATCTCCTCTGTCATTGGACACGGCTAATCACGTGGTAAAAGGCCCCTGTGATTGGCGTGTACCGTATCCTGTGATCGGCCGTGTCCGTAGGACACAGTGATTGCCAGGGCCGTGTCCTGGAATGATGTCCATAGACGTGGTCCCAGAACGAGACAACCGCTCTGTAGCCGTCCTTCGGTAGGGAAATGGTTACGCGGTTAATGACACAGATGGGAGTTTAAAGACCACCTTCATCTGCCACAGAATCTGTACATAACATGAGATCGGGGTGAGGTGACCACCCTACCCCCATCATCCCACCAACATCCCATCCCCCGACTTCACCGCCATCAGAGGAAGAGGTCTGTCCTTATATACCGCCAGCAGAGAAGACACATTAGAGGGGTGTGGGGGATGGTGGGAAGGATTTGGAGGGATTGTCCCTCTGTTGTCACCAAATTCCTTCTTCCTCTCTCTCCTTATTAACCCCTTATATCCCCCCCCCCCCCCCCATCTTAATATTGTACAACCAGTACAGTCCGGATCATTCTCTGTTATCAGTTATTGGTCTACAGGAAACCTGTATAGATCACATGACCAGTGAGGATGGAGGAGGACCGGAGTCACATGACTGAGAGGATACTAAACCTTACCCTGGAGATCATCTACCTGCTGACCGGAGAGGTGAGGAGGATTCTGGGAGGTCACATGACATCATTCTTATCTCTATTAATAAAACAGACCTGACCGGAGAGGTGAGGAGGATTCTGGGAGGTCACATGTCATCTCTCATCTCTATTAATAAAACACAGACCTGCCCAGAGAGGTGAGGAGGATTCTGGGAGTCTAACATGATGTTCCTATTGGTTCCTCAATACAGAGATTTCCTCTTCTGAAGTCAGGTGATCATATGACCATCACAGTACCTCCATGTGACTCCCTAAAACCTGAGAGACACAACATGCAGAAGATTCTAGAAGTCACCAAGAAGATGATGGAGCTGCTGACAGGAGAGGTGAGCGGTGCCAGGAATTCTGGGACAATCTCCAGTAACAGACAAGGGATGTGTCTGGATGGTGACTGTATCATTATGTGTGTCAGGTTCCTATAAGGTGTCAGGGTGTCACTGTCTATTTCTCCATGGAGGAGTGGGAGTATTTAGAAGGACACAAGGATCTCTACAAGGACGTCATGATGGACAATCAGCCGCCCCTCACATCACCGGGTAAGAGGAGACTTTATTGGAAAGGAGAGAGCAGTACAGAGGATCCACCTAGATCCCCCATCATTGATAAACACATATAAATAATGGATTCAGTCAAGTGTGTGTGTTTCCTACAGATGGATCCAGTCATGGGAACCCACCAGAGAGATGTCCCCGTCCTCTGTATTCCCGAGATTCCACACAGGAAGGTCACACCATCCCTCACTATTACAAGGTTGGTGGGATGGAGGATCTAGAACATGGACTCATGGAGACAATGTGCGGATTTTCTATGTGATGTCACAATAATAAATCTTCGATCTTACAGATGATATTTTCTCTCCTTCTCTTGATGTAGAGTGGAGATCCAATCGATATAGAATTTGAAATCAGAAGAAGAAGAGGCGTATGTGAGGGATGATCAGCAGTCTATGGAGGAGGATGGAGGAGGGACATTTATAGAGGCGGACACTCCTACAGAGATCAGTACAGGTGGGTCAGGAACACGAAGTCCATGAGCTGAACACACCTGGGAGGTAAATAGCCGAATATTAAACATTACTTCAGGCCATTTTCTAGGCCAATAGACAATTTATCAAACTCTTGGATTGGGGATGCAGTCCCACCCAAATTCCATACCAGACCCTTAGAGCCTTTTATTAATGTAACAGGGGAAGCTTCCATGGAAACATCAAGAAAAAAGTCTAGGGTCTCCCCCAAACAATTCATACAAAAACTAACCATGCAGCCCAGCTTGTCAGGAAAGGGGATGGAAAAGCTTCCCTCCTGACCATACCAGACCCTTGAAGAACCTTGCCGACATGTTGATCCCCACAGCCCAACCCTGGCATGCTGGTTGTGCAGGTCTGCTGGCAGGGGGCTTATGTGGAAAGTTCCCTTTACCAATAGGAAGGCCCCCAGATCCCACCCTGCCGTAAGGGGTACATAGTCCTCCCATCCACTGTCAGTCATAACACCTGGCAATGTAGGTCCAGGTCCTTGGCAATGGCGCCACCAATGAAGTCTCACCTTGATGACTGCTCACTTGGTTCTGAGATCTTCGGCAGACAACAGCTGATACACAGTACATGTAAAGGGGTGGGGTCTCCTGGGTGACATCATTGACTATATTTGGACATGACCATAATTGGTCAATGACATCACCCGGGAGACCCATCTATTTACTCAATCATTCACATTGGGGGGGACCGGATTCTGTAGCTACACCCAGCTCTGCTGATCCCCCACTCAGTAGCTACCTCCAGCTCTGCTGTTCCCCCACTCAGTAGCTACCTCCAGCTCTGCTGATCCCCCACTCAGTAGCTACCTCCAGCTCTGCTGATCCACCTCCGCTCAGTCCTCTCTCCAGTCCGCTCACCTTCCACTATAGCATTCCCACACTGCACACCAGATGTGACGTCTGCACCAGACACTCCCAGAATATATACACACAAGCCGGAAGTGACTGCTGATGATGTCTTTCCGGTTCGCTTGTTGGTTTCCCAGTGCATCCTGGGATATCTCATTCCTGCAATACCTCCAAAACAAAGCCAAGCTAATGCAGAATAAATGCCTCTCATAGGCTGCAGGTGCTGGTAGTGAGCATTGTCATAGACTTCTTTGGAGATGCTTTGAACACCAAGGAAGATACTTGGGGGATCATTTTTGAAGCAAAGCAAATGTAACAGTGTGAACAGGACTGCCAGGGAACCATTGGATTTAGGGATGGGCTTTGATTGGCAAAATGCGTGTCCAATGGTACATTTTGAAGCAAGTGTAAACCAGGCCTTAGAGCTAAATGTTAACCCCTGCCGAGGATTTACCCCCCCCCTGCCGCGGATTTACCCTTCCTCCCCTAGAGGATTAACCCCTCCCCCTCCAGAGGATTTATTTACCCTTCCCCTCCCGAGGATTTACCCCTCCCCCTCCCCAGAGGATTAATCCCTCCCCCTCCCGAGGATTTACCTTCCCTTCCCAGAGGATTTACCCTTCCCCTCCCGAGGATTTACCCCTCCCGAGGATTTACCCCCTCCCCCCAGAAGATTAATCCCTCCCATCTCCCGAGGATTTACCCTTCCCCTCCCAGAGGATTTACCCCTCCCATTCCAGTGGATTTACCCTTCCAATCCCAGAGGATTTACCCTTCCCCTCCCAGAGGATTTACACTTTCCCCCTCCCAGAGGATTAACCCCCCTCCAGAGGATAAACCCTTCCCCTCTCAGAGGATTTACCCCTCCCCCTCCCAGAGGATTTACCCTTCCCCTCCCAAGGATTTTACCCCCCCCTCTCGAGGATTAACCACTCTAGAGGATTCCTCCCACCTTCCTGACCAGCCAATATTTTTTCAATACTACGATGTGTTACTTTAACTGACAATTGCGGCGGTCTGTGCGTTGCAACGCTGCACCTAAATTAAATCTACAACCCTTTTTCCCCACGAATAGAGCTTTCTTTTGGTGGTATTTTGATCCTCTGCGTTTTTTTTTTATTTTTTTTGCGCTATAGTAAAAAAATACAACATTTTTTATATATTTTGATTTTTTTTTTGCTATAAAACAAAACAAAATTACAATTTTGTGAAAAAAAAAGTTTATATATTTGACTTTTTCTATAAAACATTTCCAAAAAAAAATTAAAAAAAGTCAAATTTTTTCATAAAAATTTCAGCCAAAATGTCTCCCGCTCCGTGTCTTCGCTAAAAAAAAAATCTCGATACGTGTAAATTAATTGGTTTACGTGAAAGTTATAGCATCTACAAATGGCGGTATAGATACGGGGAATTTTTTTTTTTGGGGGGGGGGTCTACTATTGGTGTGCACTGGACAAGGGTGATCAGTGACTTATAGCGGGACTTCGGAGGACATTCTGACACGGGGGGGGGGGGGGGTTTGGTGGACTGACTTGGTGTCACTGACATCCCCAGTGACATCAATACAGAGATCAGCGCAAAAAAAAAAAAAAAAAGCCCTGACACTGTACTATTAGCACTGGGCAGGAAGGGGTTAACATCTGGGGCGATCAAAGGGTTAACTGTGTGCTGCTGGGTGTTATTCACTGTACGCATGCAGAGTCATAAAAAAGCAGTGTGCCGGAGCGGACGGGAGAGATCTGTGTTGTTTACATACAGGTCTCTCCCCTGTCGGTAATACTCAGAGATCGCCGGGTGGTGGCTGCGGGGAATCACCAGCTGGGACCCAGTGATTGACAGCGGAGGCCACGAATGGCTGTGCAGGCAGGCCCCCTACCCAGAACTGCAGAATCACGTGTGTGTGTGTGTGTATATATATATATATGTGTGTGTTACGTAGTTCACAGAAAACTGTATTTCCTGTCTTGTTGGGATAAAAAGTATCAGAGAGACTGAAACACTTCTCTATCCAGAAGGAAATACTGCAGCTGCAAGCTCCCTCCAATGCTGCCAGAAGCCTAGGCCTATGCAAGTATCAGATCTAATGGTCTATTGTTTTTGTTTTATTTTCCAGGACCCGCCATGGAGAAACCCTCAAAGGATCGTCTCACTTTATCTCCAGGTTGTAAAATGGAAGATGAGGACATCCCAGGAGATTGTGCCGGAGAAAAGACAAAGAGCTCCACTATGGATGGTGGACTTCCCAGTGTGGAGAGACCATGGAATCCCTCTGACACTGAGCACCCTCGTATTGTGGGGGATGGGGCCGTGGTTCAGGGGGAGAAGACATTTCCCTGTCCTGAGCGTGAGAAATGTTTTCAGTCTGAATTAAGTCTTTCTGAACATCAGAGATCTCACACGGGTGGAAAGCGTTATTCCTGCCCTGAGTGCCGGAAATTGTTTTCACAGAAGTCCAATATTTACAGACATCAGAGTTTACACACGGACGAGAGACCGTATTCCTGCCCTGAGTGCGGGAAATGTTTTCTAAAGAAGTTCAGTCTTTACATACACCAGCAGTCTCACATGGGGGAGAAGCCGTATTCCTGCACTGAGTGCGGGAAATGTTATACACAGAAATCAGACCTTGTTAGACATCAAAGATCTCACACGGGAGAAGCCGTATTCCTGCCCGGAGTGCGAGAAGTGTTTCTCACAGAAAGCCAATCTTGTCATGCATCAGAGGTCTCACAAAGGGGAGAAGCCGTATTCCTGCCCTGAGTGTGGAAAATGTTATACACGCAAATCAGTACTTGTTGTACATCAGAGATCTTGCACACTGGACAGGCCATTTCCCTGCCCTGCGTGCGGGAAACGTTTTTCAAACAAATCGGACCTGGTTAAACATCAAAGATCTCACACGGGGGAGAATCCGTATGCCTGTCCAGAGTACGGGAAATGTTATATGCATAAAAAAGATCTTGTTAAACATCAGAGGTCTCACACAATAGGGGCTTCTGTCCACAATTAATATTGACCTTCTCCATAAGTTGTTCTCTGGCTATGGAGGACATTTGGGATAAAGCCAACAAAACATCGATCTACACTCACCGGCCACTTTATTAGGTCCACCTGTTCAGTTGCTTGGTAACACAAATGGCTAATCAGCCAATCACATGGCAGCAACTCAATGCATTTAGGCATCTAGATGTGGTGAAGATGACTTTCTAAAGTTCAAGCCGAGCATCAGAATGGAGAAGAAAGGGGATTTAAGTGACTGTGAACGTGGCATGGTTGTTGGTGCCAGACAGGCTGGTCTGAGTATTTCAAAAACTGTTGATCTCCTGAGATTTTCCCACACAACCATCTCTAGGGTTTGAATGGTCCGAAAAAGAGAAAATATCCAGTAAGTGGCAGTTGTGTGGAGGAAAATGCCTTGTTGGGGTCAGAGGAGAATGGGTAGACTGGTTTGAGATGATAGAAAGGCAACAGGAACTCCCATAACCCCTCGTTACACCCAAGGTATGCAGATACCATCTCTGAACGCAGAACACGTCCAACCTTAAAGCAGATGGGCTACAGCAGCAGAAGACCACACCGGGTGCCACTCCTGTCAGCAAAAGACCACACCGGGTGCCACTCCTGTCAGTTAAGAACAGGAAACGGAGGCTGAAATTCACACATCAGTTCCAGTAATTGCCCCCCATCCCCTCTGATGATCACCTTCCCTGCCCAAATCGGATTCACCCAGCTTCCTGGGGCCCCCCTACAGGAGGACTGGTGGCACCTTCTTATCAATTCCTGTAATTGCCCCCCCCCCCTCCCTGTGCACCATAGGTTTCCCCCTGCTGCCCAGGTCCCCCTGTGTGCCCCCCACAGCCGCAGTGCTGCCGGCTTCCCTCCTCTGCTTCCCACTGGCAGTTGCAAGCACACAATAAGATCCTTCAGGATGAAGAGTGGGGGAAGGGTCTGA